TCTCCTCTCTTTGTACTCTCGAAATTCCACTCTTCCCTTCTTTCATTTCCAGAAGGAAAGTAATTTCAGTTTGGAAACACAATGATTGAGTAGATGATACATGGCATCACTCTCTATTCCAAAATCTCATTACCCACTCTTTTCACAAATTCATTCGCCAATATTAAGAATTTCAAAGATGATAACTTACCCAAATGAGGCAAATACTCACAGTTTATACATCTACAAGAACTAGCATTCTCAAATTGGCCAACGTATCATCCAATGAGGGAAAATAGTGTTGCCACTATAATTTTGTAGCCATAATATCTCTAAATTTGGATGTGATTGAACTCCTCAAGAAGTTCTTGATTTGCTCCACATTCATCCTCCCGTTAAAGTTTACCCCCAAATCACGCAAGTTATTCTTATGTTTAATTCAATTCCTTAACCTCATCAACATCTCTCAAATTTCCCAACCTATTATAGCAAATTCTCGAAGGTGATTAAAGGCTTTTAGACATAATAGAACATGCTTCAACCATAAACTACCCTCACTTATAACAAATATTTGTAATGTTCGTAGACTAGTTAATCTCTCCAAACTTTTGGCATGTAACTTATTTGAGTCCCCTCGTTTAAAAATGCCTCAAATTGATTAAGTTTCCTATCCCTTGGGTAGTTTCTTGATTCCAAACAAACATCTTGTCTAAGGTTTGCAGATTATATAACCCACACAATGTCTCGGCAATTCTTGTATGTTTTGATTCGAATGCAAATCAAGGTACCTCAAGTGTATTAGTTTTTTTTATTTCTACAGGAATTTCTTCAATTGAGCAATAATTCAAAGATAATGACCTCAGAAATGTAAACTGGTTAACTACTTTGTACAAAACTATCTTAAGGTTAGAACCATAATAAAAAACAACCACAAGGCTACGTAGAAAAGTATTTCTAGTACACACAGAGCTAGGAAATGATCCCCTTTCTTGAATCTTTATCATTGAATGTTTAACTTTATTATAAGAAGATTCTAATTCAATTTCTCTTGTACCATCAACCTCTATTGTATAACATTCATTTTTGGTAAGAAATTGAGTAAAATCATGCATTATATCATGCATCTTGCAAGAACGGATATCAATATCATCTTCATCTTTTTGAAAATCTTGAAAGAAAGAACGCATTGACAAAGTTTCAAAATACTCTTCACCAACTAACTCTATATCCTTATTTGGTTTTGACTTTAGATAGCCCTGAGCCATCCATAACTTGATCAATTGTTCTCTCTTTATCTTATAATCCTTTAGAAAAATAGCACAATATGAGAAACATTTTTTCAAAGTAGGGGGTAAATCATAATAACTTAATAGAAGAGGTCGAAAAACCTCTTGTTCTACCTTGATCTATTTCTCAAATTTCAGTCTCTAAGATATTTTTTGACTTGACAAATTTTCCTTTAGAACACAAAAGAATCACTAAAGTCTTTATCGCTAGTGGCAAACCTTTACACTTTTGAACAATTTTCCTACCAATTTCTACTAGCTCATTAGATTCTTCATTGCTTTTTCCTGAAAATGCAACTTTACTAAACAATAACCAACATTTTTCCTCAGATAATGTCCCCAGTGGGATCATTTTGGTGGTTCCTATGACATTTGTAGCATTCTCCTTACGTGTGGTCACCAAAATTCTACTTTCTAGAGAACCATACTTAAGAGAGCGCTTCAATTGATCCCAATTTTTGGGATTTTCAGTCCATATGTCATCTAGAACAAGAAGAAACCTCCTTCCGTTGATACGTTGGCGTATGTTTTGCACAACAGTTTCTAACTCGTTCATGTTTGGTGCACTATTTGTAAGAGATTCAAGAATTGCTTTGGCAATCCTAAGCTCATCAAAAGGCTTAGAAACACACACCCATATTTTTTTTTCAAAATGGGTATTCACTTTATCATCGTTAAAAACTAATTGAGTAAGAGTAGTCTTACCAATTCCTCACATCCCTACTATAGAGATAATGCGAAGGCCTTGTAATATTTGGTTTGCTTATGTTGCGATAATGCTGCAACTTCCATTAAACTTTTTTATACGAGGTAGGGACCCATGAGTGGAAAAATATATTTTAAGCGTTGGCATTTTCCAAAATAATTGAGGTGATGATGGTGAGATCACAGCCATTTGTTCTTTACAATAAAAATTTGTTGATGCTCGTTTTTACACCAACGAATTTTTACGTGTATAATATCAAGTGACTGTTTGATGTACGTGAAAATTGAATTTTAGAAAATTAAAATTGCTGTAGAGGGATTTTTTAAGTGGTTCGGATGCTAAGATAGCAAGTCCTACGTCCACTGATTTGTATTGATATTAGTGGGTGTCAGGTCGCGGTCGCGAGCTGACTTACAACAGACGAAAAAGTCCAAGCAAAGTTTNGCCCAAAAGTTTGTAATGTTTTGGAGATAGTGGAGTTTTCTTTTGCAGTGCCCAAGGACGTAGGTTTCAATACCGAACCTTGTTAATTCTTGGTATTCTTTATTTTTGCATTTAATTTTTGCTATTTATTTATGCTTTACTACTTGTTATTATTATATTCAATAGCTAGCATTAGAGTTTATGTTTCTGTTGCATAACACTTCTTGTCAATGAGCATCGAGCATACGTTCTCTCCAGCTAGCATAGGTTTCATAAAGTTAAATAACTGGTTATCACACCTTGCTATTCCCTCCTTGTATGACACAGAACACCAAATGTGCTGAGAAATCCAAATTTAAGTTTCAAAATGCTATTACAGAGATATAAGACTAATATTTTCTACTGCAGAATTACATCAAATGATCAGTTAGTATGAATTATGGAGCGAAGAAGTCATTCCTCACCATATAAATGTAATTCTCTTAATGTTTGTTTGTATTTGCCATTCTTTAAACATCAGTATGCCCTTGCCGTTAGCTAACGTCAGTTTTCATTTCTTTTTTAAATTATATATAGTAAATTCTGAATGATCAGACAAAAAAGTAAATTAATAACTCTGAATATAATTCTCACCATATAATAACTCAAAAACTAATTCACACCATAAAAATGTGAACAATGTCAAAAGACGCTCAAATGCTTCAAAACAGATATATCAAAATGGGTCAAACGGGTTGATATGACATGATATTATATGGCTTAATAATATAAGAATAAAATAATTTAGTTTTTCTAACAAGAAATATGCACAAAATGTGAATGACATAATTTAATGCTTTCATCAATATCTCATAGGTGACAAAAATGAGTGACACCTCTATAGAAAACACAGCTATCTACATATCCAGCAGTAAAGGCAAACCAAAATACCAAAAAGCAATACATGCAAACAATATGAAGTTGGGATGGTGATCTACGGGCCCTCAATAATCATGTTACACTGCCCTGCAGTCATTGGTTGGGCCATATATGCCGAAAACAGTTTATTCACAGTGATACCACCAGGTCCCTGCAGAATGAAGGATGTAAGATTAATGAGAATTGCTTAAACAAATTGCTGAGTTTGTTTCCGAGCTAATATAGGGACAAGCACCAGAAGTTGGAAGAAAGCTGCTCAAATGTGAGATACGGCGAAAACCAGAAAAGGATGCTGACATAGAGAACACTCAATACTGTATCAACTTATACATAAGTTTAGCAACTCGAGATTCCTGGAATGTTCTTTCAAAGGCAGCCAGTTGTTTGAAGAGAGACAGTTGGATGAGCTTGAAATTGAAAAAGATAGTTGTCAGTTTCACATCACATAGATTCAAAAACATGAACTTTGGTTCTTTACTAATAATATTATGTTTTGAAACTTCAAACCTTGGAAGGACTGAAGTCATTGAAACAGAGCAGTTCCTTCTTGCCAATGAGCAGCTAGCATACAATCAAGCTAGCGTTACATCCCAGAGATTTCTGCAACTTTCTTCAAATGACCAAAGAGCATTGTTTTACTGGTATTGAGAAGAAAATGCTATTAGCTAATGTATAAAAAATTAAGTTGTTTTAAAATAATTATATGTTATTGATATGAATTTCTACAAACTCAATTCATATACTACCCTAAAACAACCACTTTTAACTCAACCTAGGCTAAGTTTTCATTCAAGTCCTTATGACCATTCGGTTATCACCCTTCATGCACTTTCACAACCATCAAATGATTAAAAACAACTCCTTTCAACAAGCTCCAGTCAATCACCAAATCATTTATGTTCAAATGCACACAAATGGAATCATACACACCATGCAAAACAAAATCCGGAAAATGAGTCTACTTGAAACTAAAGGAAAACAACTTACATAAGAGATGACCAAGGACTCAATCAAGCCTAAAGGAAACTCCACCAGCTTGAAAGATACTCCACCACCAAGTTTGGCCGAACTTGGGTAAAGGAAACAAGAGAAAACTCTTTCTCAAGACAAGTCACTATTCATTAATATTCCAAAGTCCCTTTACAAAATGATCAAGTGGCCTTTATATAGGCTTTACAAAAATTAGGGATTTACCCTAGCAAATATTACACAATGAAAACATTAAAATATTACATTCAAATACTTAAACAAAAGTCCACCACACATGTTCAAATTAAGCCATAACCATTTAATGACCAAGTGGGCAACTTTCCCCTAATTTAAGGACCCTTGTCCTTAACAACAATTTTTAGGGTTTTGCCTCCAAAATTTGAATCAAATGACACCCAAAACTTGGGCTTGGGCCAATGGAACTTGCTCCCACTTCTTGTACACGTTTTAGGTCATAAAATTGGGCTTGAGCCGTGCCTTGGAACCTTAAGACCTCTTGGACAATTTTGTGAACTTCCTTGAGTGCTTGGGATGCTTGGGCCGAATGTTGATCTTCATGTTGCCCTTGAGTCTTCAATGAAATCCCTAGCAATTGTGATTGGCATGATGGGTTAGGATTCTCATCAGTTATGAAACATCGAACCTGAGAAAGATTGATTGAAACAGAGCAGTTTTTTCATGCCTAGAGATATATTCTTCTTGTGACCAAAAGGCATATTTTACTGGTTAAAGCACACAATTATTGAAAAATTTAATCATATGGCCTTAAACTGCAATACATCATTATTTCTGTGGATAAGAGACCTAAAATATATATGCTTTATATAATCAAAGTTGGAAGTTAAAGTAGGCAGACCTTGGTCAAAACAGGCAGAGAAGATGTTGAGCTATAAGTTGGCTGAAGTCCTTTAGGGAAGAGAACAACAACCAATTTCTGATTCTAATAGAGATGTTCTTCACTTTAATAGAAAGCCTGCAATGTTTCCAAATCACATTACAGAAATACCTCTAATGATGGTAAAACAATGAAAGATGGAGATGCAAAACAAAATTACCTATGGCCTGCAATGTTGCAGCTTGAAAAGAAAAGAAATAAAAGCTGGCTTTTGAGTAATAATTTGTTACAAAATTATAGATACAAGAATATATAAGATTCCCTATGGCCGGATTACCTAGTCCAATTATCATCCAACAACATAACATGGCAAGCCAATGGAACCTTATCAGTTTTAAAATTGAAGAGGTGCCCGATATTGAAAATTTCTTTCACAGGATGTCTCCAGTGCAGGATTTCCTGGCTGCTGCAGCTTGAAAAGAAAACAAAACAAAACTTTAGCATGAGATAACTTTAAGAGAACGAGACAAAATGATCAAAAGTCTCTTACAAATAGGATGTAAGACCAGGTTATGAAGTTATAACTGCCATATTAAGTGCAGAGGATGTTAAAACTGATTTTTGAGTAATATTTATATCGTACTCACCTAATAAGATTATATAAGATTCCCTGTGGTCACATTAGGTAGTCTATTTCTCATCCAACAGCATTAGACAACGATTGCAAGGAAAAAACCATGGCGAGTTGATGGAGCCTTCAGTTTTCAAATGCACTGGTGTTTGATATCCAACATTTTTATCAGATCAAGATGTCTTTGGTACATGATCTTTTGGTTGCTGCAGCTTGAAAAGAAAAGAAAACTAAACTTTAGCATGAGATAACTTATAATGAACAACACGAAGTCACATTAGCAAAAATGAAGTAAAAAGAATAAAATTCTGTTGAAAATAAGATGTAAGACCAGATTATGAAGTTAAAAATTCCATAGTAAGTGCAGAGGAAGTTAAAACTGAATTCTGAGTAACAATTTGACTTTTTGTTGCAAAATATTTGTATCTTAATTACCCACGTAGTAATGTACTCAGTGATTTAATTATTTATTCAATAAGTTTAAATGTTGCCGATTCACAACCATTAACAGTAAAGAACCTCATCCAATGTTTATTCATCATAAAAATGAAGCTAACCGGTAAGGAAATAAGAAATTACCTGTAGATTGATCACAGTTGTAAATAGGCCAAATCAAAGTTGAAGTTACGACTTGACAGACGTTGGTCAAAACGGAGGAAATGATGATGAGCTATCAATTCACTAAGTTCTTTCGGGAACATAACAACCACTAATTTTTTATTCTAGTAGACATTTTCTTGTTATGTTCTGCACTTTAACAGAGACCCTCAATTGGCTCAAATCCTATTATTTTGAGTAGACAAAATGAATTTGTTACGTTTACAAAAAATGGTGATTGATAATTAGGGTATTATATAATAAAAGATGTGAGTTATTCCCAAAAACAAAAAAGATAAAAGATAAAGAATGTAATAAAACAAATAATTAGAAGGGAAAAGAGAGGAAATTGCCTGTGGAACTTAATCAGTATCTTATGAAGATGATAATAAGCTATTGGCTCTATGTTCTTCAGAGAACAGGGTATTCATCTATTAATATCTTCATTGTTGTTTTCTGATAAATGTGGTTTGGTAGAGACTTCAATTTGAGGCAGGATTGAAGTTTCAAGGTTTGAAGAGATGGCATGACTGTAATATCTTCATCTCCTCTCTTTGTACTCTCGAAATTCCACTCTTCCCATTCTTTCATTTCCCGGAAGGAAAGTAATTTCAGTTTGGGAAACACAATGATTGATGTAGATGATGGCATGACATCACTCTCTATTCCCAAAAACTCATTACCCACTCTTTTCACACAATTCATTCGCCATATATTAAGAATTTCAAGAGATGATAACTTACCCAAATGAGGCAAATACTCACAGTTTATACAATCTACAAGAACTAGCATTCTCAAATTGGCCAACGATATCATCCAATTAGGGAAAATAGTGTTGCCACTATAATTTTGTAGCCATAATATCTCTAAATTTGGATGTGATTGTAACTCCTCAAGAAGTTCTTGATTTTGCTCCACATTCATCCTCCCGTTAAAGTTTACCCCCAAATCACGCAAGTTATTCTTATTGTTTAATTCAATTCCCTTAACCTCATCAACATCTCTCAAATTTCCCAACCCTATTATAGCAAATTCTCGAAGGTGATTAAAGGCTTTTAGACATTTAATAGAACATGCTTCACTACCATAACTACCCTCACTTATAACAAATATTTGTAATGTTCGTAGACTAGCTAATCTCTCCAAACTTTTTGGCATGTAACTTATTTGAGTCCCCTCGTTTAACAAATGCCTCAAATTGATTAAGTTTCCTATCCCTTGTGGTAGTTTCTTGATTCCAAAACAACATCTTATGTCTAAGGTTTGTAGATTATATAACCCACACAATGTCTCGGGCAATTCTTGTATGTTTTGATTCGAATGCAAATCAAGGTACCTCAAGTATATTAGTTTTTTTATTTCTATAGGAATTTCTTCAATTGAGCAATAATTCAAAGATAATGACATCAGAAATGTAAACTGGTTAACTACTTTGTACAAAACTATCTTAAGGTTAGAACCATAATAAAAAACAACCACAAGGCTACGTAGAAAAGTATTTCTAGTACACATAGAGCTAGGAAAAGATCCCCTTTCTTGAATCTTTATCATTGAATGTTTAACTTTATTATAAGAAGATTCTAATTCAATTTCTCTTTTACCATCAACCTCTATTGTATAACATTCATTTTTGGTAAGAAATTGAGCAAAATCATGCACTATATCATGCATCTTGCAAAAATGGATATCAATATCATCTTCATCTTTTTGAAAATCTTGAAAGAAAGAACGCATTGACAAAGTTTCAAAATACTCTTCACCAACTAACTCCATATCCTTATTTGATTTTGACTTTAGATAACCTTGAGCCATCCATAACTTGATCAATTGTTCTCTCTTTATCTTATAATCCTTTGGAAAAATAGCACAATATGAGAAACATTTTTTCAAAGTAGGGGGTAAATCATAATAACTTAATAGAAGAGGTCGAAAAAGCTCTTCTTCTACCTCTTCTATGGGTAAATCATAATAACTTAATAGAAGAGGTCGAAAAAGCTCTTCTTCTACCTTTTCTATTTCCCAAATTTCACTCTCTAAGATATTTTTGTACTCGACAAATTTTTTTTTAGAACACAAAAGACTCGCTAAAGTCTTTATCGCTAGTGGCAAACCTTTACACTTTTGAACAATTTTCCTACCAATTTCTACCAGCTCATTAGATTCTTCATTGCTTTTTCTGAAAATGCAACTTAACTAAACAATAACCAACATTTTTCCTCAGATAATGTCCCCAATGGGATCATTTTGGTGGTTCCTATGACATTTGTAGCATTCTCCTTACGTGTGATCACCAAAATTCTACTTTCTGGAGAACCATACTTAAGAGAGCGCTTCAATTGATCCCAATTTTTGGGATTTTCAGTCCATATGTCATCTAGAACAAGAAGAAACCTCCTTCCGTTGATATGTTGGCGTATGTTTTGCACAACAGTTTCTAACTCGTTCATGTTTGGTGCACTATTTGTAAGAGATTCAAGAATTGCTTTGGCAATCCTAAGCTCATCAAAAGGCTCAGAAACACACACCCATATTTTTTTTTTCAAAATGGTAATTCACTTTATCATCGTTAAAAACTAATTGAGCAAGAGTAGTCTTACCAATTTCTCCCATCCCTACTATAGAGATAATGCGAAAGCCTTGTGCATGACAACTCTGAGTAAGCAAAAAATCTATTATTGTATTCTTATCATCATCTCTTCCATAAATCTCTGTGAAATCAACAACAGAAGTTGTCATTGGTCGTTCTACTTCTTTTCTATTCTCGGTGAAGGATCTAAAGCAGAATCTCTCTCTCTCCACAGCAATAATATCAAGTTTTCTATTGAGATCTTTTATATTGACAACAATTTCATAATGCATAACCAGTGGCTTACCACTGAGATAATGGAGACTGAGAGAACATACCTTTTTTAGAGGCTTAGAAGCATGTTTAGCTCTTTTAATTTGTAACTTCAGAAACTTCGTCTTCCACTCGTCCAACACATCATCTATGTCATATGACACGTCTTTGAGCTTGTCTAACCAATCTCTCACAACAATCTCCTTCACTTGGCGATTCTCAGCATCAGCCAACACAGCTTGAATTGCCCGGAGATTGCTTTGAAGCTTCTTATCTTTTTTCTCGGCACCCACAATCAGGCTAATCCCTTCTGTCACCTGTTGACGAATGAATGAAGCCAGTTGTTCCAAGGCTATGGAAACAAGAGCTTCAGCCATATTGAATGATGGTAAGTGATTAAACAAGGATTGATCAGAATCGTAATATTTGGTTTGCTTATGTTGCGATAATGCTGCAACTTCCATTAAACTTTTTTATACGAGGTGGGGACCCATGAGTGGAAAAATATCTTTTAAGCGTTGGCATTTTCCAAAATAATTGAGGTGATGATGGTGAGATCACAGCCATTTGTTCTTTACAATAAATATTGATCATTATTTAGTTTTCATATTAGAAGAAACTAATTAATATTATGAAGGAATATGATTTCTTGTATGTAAACTTTATTATATTTATTGTTGCTAGAATTTAAATTACCTCAATTCCATATCTATTCTTCAAAATCATAAAAAAATATATATTATTTGGGATGAAAATTTTCGTAATTTCTTGTAACTTATGGGCAATTTCGTGAATTTTGTGGGAACGAAATTGGTTGGTCGCTCTCAGTGATGTGAAGCCAGATTACAAGTTACACTAATGACAATCGATGGATTACTTTGTAAATGTGGTGGGACTCATAAGTAGAAAAATATGTGCGTTAGACTTTTCAAAAATAATTGAACGGTGATGATGCACTGATGGAGGACAAATGCTGAGATCAACGGCCACTGTGTACTTACAATTTCGCATTCAAGTGGCTGAAACCGTGTTTACATAAGTTGATTGAACCATTAGAAAATGGTGAATTTAACTCCAAATTGCACCAAACTTTCGGAAAAATCTAATACCTTGCATGATGCCACGTCTCCAATCTCCATGATGTGACCATTAAATCTTGAGCAAGTGAACCACGGTAATCTTGGTGTTCTTGTGTGTGATCTGATTGTGTTTGTGAGTTGTTTGCTTTTGGATTCAAATATAGTATAAAGGTATCAACTAATCGAGAAAAAACACCAAATGGGATAGCGTTTTATGTTTAGACAAGTATCGAGTAGGATTGGCTCCTAAATATAGAGTTTTGAATAATTTAATTGTCTTTCTTAAATCTAGAATTTTGAATTTAGCTTAATATTACATGATTATGTTGTATAGTGTGGTCGACCGAATCAATATTATACAAAATTAATTAATAATCTATTGAAGTCGAGCAAAGCGTTATATATATATATGGCAAAAAGGATACTCTGATTTCATATCGGCCATGAAAGAAATCCATTTAATTTGTGTTGGTACTGGCAAAGAGGTGCATGGTAGGTTAGAAATATCATGAACCACAAACAAATAATAGAAAAAAAAAGTGTGTAATATCATTATTTAGTTTTAATTGAATGACAACAAATTTTGTAGGCCCAGGTTTTGAGGCTGTGTCTGTAAATTTCCAAGATTGCTAATTGAATTATTACAAATATGTTGACTTCAACTATTTCTTTCTTCAACTTTCTTTTGAATTGCTTACCCAATACTGGTTTGGAATTTAGTTATTATAATGATTAACTTAAGGTTTAAAAGGAAATGACATAAAGTAAGAACAAATAAAAATAAACGAGGCACAACGATTTACGTGGTTCACCCATTTGGGCTACATCCACGGTCATAGTATGACAGAGAATTTTCACTATAAATCAAAACAGTACAATGATACAATCTATCTAACAAAGTTAATAGAAAATCAGTTTCTAACAAAGTTAAACATATAATAATGTTGAAAAACTGTTGACTGAGATAAGTAGCAGAAGTTGGAGAGATTATTGCTCCAACTGAGAGATGAAATGAAACAAAAAATAGTGATGGTAACATCAACAGATGAAGATGCTGATTGAGACTGAGTTGCATTTGCAAAATCTGGAAAGTAATTAATAAATTGTGGGGTTAAACATTACAATACTTCCACAAAGAACCAGAATCATGATGTAGCTGAATAATCCATTATACAGTACTACAAAAATTCTCGAGTCTGAACATGACTTTAGATCTAAATATAAGAAAACCTTGCAATGCTATGTATGTTATTCTGTTAAGACAAATAAGCTAACGGTTAGGAATCTTTACCATGAAACAATTTCTGGTTCTAGAAGGGATGACCATTGTTGATGCTCGTTTTCTGCACCAACTAACTGTCACATGGATGACACTGTTTTATGAGTTTTATGAAAATAAATGAAAAGAGGCTTTTAAAGTGGTTCGGATGCTAAGGTAGCAAATCCTACGTCCACTGATTTTGTATTGATGTTAATGTGGGTCAGGTCGCTAAGGGGACTGACGTACATCAGAGTTATTGAAAGAAATTTGCTTTTTCTTTCTTACAAGAGAGAGAGAGAGTTGTTTTTTTTTTTTGTTTGGGTAACGAATGAATCAACCCCCTTAATGGTGAGGTTTTCTACATTTTATAACGAATTGAAGCGTGTAATCATCATTAAATCTACGGGTTGGTGTGATTGTCAGGATATCATATATCTTCACGTCCCGTTTTCCCTTTTTCCAAGCTGACATTGCATGACCTGCTGCAGAGAGACGGACGCGTGTGAGCTCCATGCTTATTCGCAGGTCTGACGTGCGTACATTGTCCTGACGGGGTCAGCTCTTCGTTTTCCCGTGTATAACAGAAGCCCCCTAGTTTTTAAGGTTCGAGGAACGAGCCTTGGAAACTAAGTCACACGGGAGACTTTGGTCGCTCCGACCTGGATGGGACGAGCTCGCCTCAAGACTCACAGCGAACACGGTCTTGCGCGATCTCTCGCGAGCCCTTGCCTAAACGACCTGACAATCTTTAGCTCAGCGACCAGGACTTGACGGACGCTCCTTTTGGTATCTTTGCGGTTCAATGAATCTATCCCTGCGCTGTCTGGCTCTCTGCATGCGTTACAGCGCTTGTCAGACACATTAAATGCGTGGTATGATGACCCGACGCCGTTTTGACAGTTTTGACCGTTTAACGCGTTTGAAACCGACAGCCCTTATTACTGCATTTAATGCATCGTGGGTTTGAAATGGCGCCCCTTTTCACGGCATTTAACGCGACGTGGGGGCGCATTTAATGCGGAGGGAGAGGGAACTGCCGTTTCGACTCCGAGGGGTGGTAATCGTCGTTTCGCTATCCATATAAAAACTTGGTATTTTTCAGATGAGGTCACCGAAATTTCTTTTGCTTTGAGTGACAAACTTTGGCAAACCAAGAATCATTCTCTCCCGGTCGACGTTTTTCAGGCAACCGGAACGAGTCTCGGCCCTAACTCCATATACCACAGAGTAAGGATATCTCTCTTCTTTCCTCTTCTTCTTTTTCCTTTTTTTTTTTTTTTTTTTGGTTTGGTTGAACCACGGCGTCGGGTCTTCCGGTGTTTCACCGGAGTCGCGACGCCGTTATTGGATTCGAGCCGTGGATGGCGGCTTGAATCACCACTAGGTTTTAAGCATTTGTCCCTTGCTGCCATACGGGACAAACACGAAAGGCCCAAATGACCGTGTCTGTCGATGTTGCAGACTGGAATGGAACCGTCAACATCCAGGACCGAGGGAGGAGCCAGCTCGTCCTTGCGGGGAGCTCCCGAGGACGTAGCTCTCGACGTCTATTTGGTCCTTACCTCCGAGGAATATGCTAGAATAAAGCGGCAGTTCGATATCCGTAAGGAGGTGTTCCTCGACCACAATAGTCCGTCACGGCGCCCACCCGACGGCCTTGCCGCGATCTCTGAGGAGATCTTTAAGGGTGGAGGGAGGATTCCCTTCCATCCTTTCATCAGGTCGATCTTGGATCATTTCGGGATCGCACCAATGCAGCTGACGCCAAACGCGTATGTCATCGCCGTCGCGATGTACATTGCATGCTGCGAGTACGGCTTAGGGGAGCCGTCGGCGGTGGAGCTCGGTGTTGCCTACTACCTGAAGAAGAGTAGGGACAAGGATTCTTACTATTTGTCTCGGCGACCTACCATTGCTGCGGGGATACACAGCTATCCCAGCAATGCGGGGGCCTACGAGAAAAAGTTTTTCTTTTTTGTTTATAACGGTCACCGCCATTTCCAGGATCCGAGTAGGTTTTCTTTTGCTGGATTTGTTATCTGCTTGCACGATCGTTAGCTAACGACCTGTTTTCTTGTGCAGTTAACAGAACGACCAGCCAAGAATTACTCGCCGACCCGAACAGGCTCGTATCTTTCGGGGTACTAAACGAGGAACAGCGGGACGCGAGGAAGCTTGTGACGACCGCGAACCTGCGAAAGTACGGTTTTTTCACCGACAAGGCATCGCTAGAACCCTTGGACGGTAAGTTATGCTGGTAGCTTTCTGGTCATGATATAAATTCCCTTACTGACAAGTTCAAGTGCAGAGACCATGCCCCCAAAGGAGTCCGGGCAATCCCGCCGAGCGCCGTTTGTTTTCCCTCGATCAAGGAGGGAGAGGGAGAGGGAGAGGGAGGCCGAAGCTGCTCGCGCCATTCCCGCACAACCGCTGCGAACTTCTGCGCCTTCGCAGCCTCGTCCTGCACAAGAAGCGACCAGAACGGAACGGGTCGCTCCGGCACCTGCAGCTTGCCCCAGGCGGAAGGCTCCGGCCCAAAGGTCGAAGAAGAGGAAACAGGTCCAGGTCGAAGAATCTGAGACCGAATCCGAGGAGGAGCCCCTCAGGACGAGCCAAGAGTCCCGGAGGTCGGGCAAAGAGCCTACCGCAACTGGCGACAAAGCAAAGGACGCGGCTGTTCTGGACTCGTTGGGGAGTCTGCCCGAGCACTTGTAGCCAATCGTCTATGGCCTGCTCGAGTGCGACCTCTTGGAGTCGTACAGCGAGCTTGCAGACACGGGCGACGACCTCCTGGCCACGTCATTCCAGCATCTGATCAAGGTAAGCCAGCCGTACTTAAGATTTTATTTTGTTCTATTGCTAACTCACGTCTTGCTCGCAGGGGTTGCTTGCGATGAGGATGTCCATGGAGAAGACGCGGCTGGGGGCCGCAAAGGGAACGAGCGACCTGGAGGCAGAGGTCGCGAAACTGAAGCAGGACTTGCAGTCCGTTGAGGCGGAGAGAACCCAAGCGTTCGATGCAGCGAATAGGTATCTGAACCAAAAGGGCGCTACTCAGCGAACAGTGGACTTCCAGAAGGCGGAGCTTGATCGCCGCACAGAGGAAGTCAGAGAACTTCAAAGGACAACCGCCAGGCTCTCTAAGGAGGTCGGAGAGAAGGACCAGGAGCTTCGGGCGACCTTCGAGCGGGCCCAGCGAGCTGATGAGGATAGGCAGGCTTCCGAGCAAGAAAGGCTTGCCCTTGAGGCCGCGCTCCAGGAGAGCCAGGCAAAGGTCGCTTCTCTGACTGATGAAATGCAGAATCAGTCTGAGGAAATGGAGGAGAAGGCCGCGGACTGGGCCATCGGGTCCATCTATACCCTTCGGGCTAGGAACCCGACTTTGGACGCGTCCGATCTACCGGAGAGTTGGTAGGCGACCTTGCAAGTCATGGCCGAGGAGGACGACCAGGCTGCTGCGGCCGCTCAAGGGCCCGACCAGGCAGGCGGCTCCGGCTCGAAGGATATTCTCGACCAGCCTTAGGCGAATTGAATCGCCCTTAATTGTAATCGGGTTTTCGGACCTTGTCTGTTTTTAAATGAATGAAATTCGATTTATAGTTCGCTTTTTATATCATGCGTGCGGTTTACAATTTGCGATTGTTTACTGATTCTTACATGCGAACAGAACACATACGAACTGTTTCAAGTGAATAAAGTAACACTTAAAAAGAAATTAACAAAATAAGAACTGAGCCCAGGATTATTGATAGTATGGCCGGAGGTGCTCGGCATTCCAAGCTCGGGGTACTTTGGAGCCATTCAATCTCTTGAGATGATAGGTCCCTGGTCTGATTACTTTGTCGACCCGGTATGGACCTTCCCAGTTAGGTCCTAGTACCCCCGCACTTGGCTCTCTGGTTCCGAGGAGAACTTCCTTTAACACAAGGTCTCCGACCTGGAAGTCTCTTCGCTTGACCTTCGAGTCGAAGAATCTTTTTGCTCGCTGTTGGTAGGCCGCTATTCTTAGCAAGGCCTTGTTGCGGTGTTCTTCGACCAAGTCCAAACTTGCTCTCATTAGCGCTTCGTTTCTGTCCTCATCGTACAGGTCCCTCCGAAGAGACCCAGTTCCGACCTCTACAGGGATCATTGCCTCACAGCCGTAGGCTAGCGAGAACGGAGTTTCCGAGGTGGAGGTCCTTGGAGTTGTCCTGTATGCCCACAAGACTTCGGGGAGGTCGTCAGCCCAATTTCCTTTGGCTGCCCCGAGCTTGGCTTTCAGGGTGTGCTTGATGGTCTTGTTGACTGCTTCAACTTGGCCATTCGCCTGCGGTCTGGCGACTGAGGCAAATTTTTTATGGATGCCCAGCTCGTCGCAGAACTGTTTGAACTCCTCATTATCGAACTGTTTTCCATTGTCTGAGATAAGGGTGTGAGGAATTCCGTAGCGGCACACTATATTCTTGAAAACGAAGTCCTTTAGCTTCCTGGTCGTGATCGCGGCTAACGGCTCGGCTTCGACCCATTTAGTGAAGTAGTCTACCGCGACCACGGCATACTTGACTCCTCCCTTTCCAACCGGCATGGGGCCGATGAGGTCGATCCCCCACATGGAAAACGGCCATGGGCTAGTCATAGTGATCAGCTCGTGAGATGGGGCTCGCGGGATGTTCGCGAACCGCTGACACTTATCGCATCTCTTGACAAAGTTGTGCGCATCCTCCTGGATTCGAGGCCAATAATATCCCTGGCACACAATCTTGTTTGCAAGAGACCAAGCCGCTGTGTGGTTACCGCAGATCCCCTCATGAATTTCCCTCATGATATAATCTGCTTCCTCGCTGGTTACACATCGGAGGAGCGGGGCACTGAATCCTCTCCTGTACAGCTGGTCCCCGATGAGCGTGAAACGAGCAGACCTTGCTCGCAGAACCCTCGCCTCGACTTTATCGCTGGGTAAGGTCCCGTCCTTGAGGTACTGTACAATGGGATTTATCCAGGAATCCGTCTGAACCTCGTTCACGGCCTGTTCGGCCGGGCTGATAGTCGGAGCTTTGACAAAACGAACAGGAATGTTATCAGGAGCCTCTGAATCTAGTGACGAGGCAATCTTTGCCAAGGCGTCCGCTATTGAGTTGCTCTCCCTGGGGATCTGAGCGATCTCAAAGTGCTTAAACGACCCCAAAGAGACCTTAGCTTCTTTCAGGTAGCGGATCATGTTCTCTTCCTTAGCTTGGTATTCCCCTAGGATCTGGTTGACGACCAGCATGGAGTCGCTATAAATACTGATCGCGGTTGCACCCATTTCTTTGGCGAGTCGCAACCCAGCGAGCAGAGCCTCGTATTCGGACTCGTTGTTGGTCGCTTTAAACCCGAATCGGAGAATACCATGGATTCAGATCCCCTCGGGACTCACTAGGAGAAGACCCGCACCAGCCCTTTTTCTGTTCGATGACCCGTCGACGTAGAGGTTCCACGTCGACAGGTTTCGGATAGTTTCTTGCCCGACCTCGCTAGACTGTTATTCGCTCGGGAGATAGGAGAATTCCGAGATAAAATCTGCGACGGCCTGCCCTTTGATAGTCGACCTAGGCGTGTATCTTAAGTCGAACTGGCTCAATTCCATGGCCCATTTGAGCAGCTTACCCGAGGCCTCTGGTTTCTGGAGGACCTGCCTGAGAGGGTAGCTCGTTATTACATTGATTGTGTGGGCATGGAAGTAAGGTCGCAACTTTCTGGACGCGACCAGCAGGGCAAAAGCTAGTCGTTCCATTTCCGGGTACCGCATTTCGGCATCCGATAGGCGCTTACTTGCATAATATACCGGCCACTGAACTTTTTCCTCTTCTCGTATTAAAGCTGCACTGACCGCGAACTGAGACACGGACAGGTAGACGAGCAGGATTTCTTGTGGTAGTGGCTTAGAGAGGAGCGGTGGCTTCCCGAGATGCTCTTTTATACTTTGGAACGCCTGCTCGCATTCGGAAGTCCACTCGAACTTCTTATTGGCTTTCAGTACATTGAAGAATGGTAAACAGCGGTCTGTTAGCCTCGATATGAAGCGACTAAGTGCCGCTATTCGCCCGTTCAGACTCATGACCTGTTTTTTACTGTTCGGACTTTTCATATCGAGTAGGGCTTGGATCTTTTCGGGGTTCACCTCTATGCCTCGCTGATTTACCATATACCCTAGGAACTTTCCTGATGATACTCCGAACGAGCATTTAAGAGGGTTCAGCTTCATTCTGTAGAGTTGGAGTATGTCAAACATCTCAGCGAGATGCGAAATATGGTCCGTGGCGGCCTGGGATTTGACCAGCATGTCGTCCACGTAGACCTCCATTGTCCTTCCGATCTGGTCGGAGAACATTCGGTTGACCAACCTCTGGTAGGTCGCACCTGCGTTCTTGAGGCCGAAGGGCATGACTTTGTAGCAATATAGCCCCCGGTCCGTGACAAAGGTCGTATGCTCCTCGTCTGGCTTGTACATCGGGATTTGGTTGTATCCCGAATATGCATCCATGAAGCTTAACAGCTCGTGCCCCGAAGTGGCGTCAACGAGCTGGTCGATTCTTGGGAGGGGGAAGCTGTCTTTTGGGCAAGCCTTATTCAGGTCGCTGAAGTCTACGCAGGTCCGCCACTTGCGACAAGGATTACTTATTGTCTCGGCGAACTACCATTGCTGGGGATACAACAGCTATCCCAGCAATGCGGGGGCCTACGAGAAAAAGTTTTTCTTTTTGTTATAACGGTCACCGCCATTTCAGGATCCAGTGGTTTTCTTTTGCTGGTTTGTTATCTGCTTGCACGATCGTTAGCTAACGACCTGTTTTCTTTGCAGTTAAAGAACGACCAGCCAAGAATTACTCGCCGACGAACAGGCTCGTATCTTTCGGGTACTAAACGAGGAACAGCGGGACGCGAGGAAGCTTGTGACGACCGCGAACCTGCGAAGTACGGTTTTTTCACGACAAGGCATCGCTAGAACCCTTGGACGGAAGTTAGCTGGTAGCTTTCTGGTCTGATATAAATTCCCTTACTGCAAGTTAATGCAGAGACCATGCCCCCAAAGGAGTCCGGGCAATCCCGCCGAGCGCCGTTTGTTTTCCTCGATCAAGGAGGGAGGGAGAGGGAGAAGGGAGGCCGAAGCTGCTCGCGCCATTCGCACAACCGCTGCGAACTTCTGCGCCTTCGCAGCCTGTCCTGCACAAGAAGCGACCAGAACGAACGGTCGCTCCGACCTGCAGCTTGCCCCAGGCGGAAGGCTCCGGCCCAAAGGTCGAAGAAGAGGAAACAGGTCCAGGTCGAAGAATCTGAGACCGAATCCGAGGAGGAGCCCCTCAGGACGAGACAGAGTCCCGGAGGTCGGCAAGAGCTACCGCAACTGGCGACAAGCAAGGACGGCTGTTCTGGACTCGTTGGGAGTCTGCCCGAGCACTTGTAGCAATCGTATATGGCTGCTCGGTGCGACCTCTTGGAGTGTACAGCGAGTTGCAGACACGGCGACGACCTCTGGCCACGCTTCAGCATCTGATCAAGGTAAGCCAGCCGTACTTAAATTTTATTTGTTCTATTGCTAACTCACGTCTTGCTCGCAGGGGTTGCTTGCGATGAGGATGTCCATGGAGAAGAGCGGCTGGGGGCCGCAAAGGGAACGAGCGACCGGAGGCGAGGTCGCGAAACTGAAGCAGGACTTGAGTCCGTTGAGGCGGAGAGAACCCAAGCGTTCGATGCAGCGAATAGGTATCTGAACCAAAGGGCGCTACTCAGCGAACAGTGGACTTCCAGAAGGCGGAGCTTGATGCCGCACAGAGGAAGTCAGAGAACTTCAAAGGACACCGCAGCTTCTAAGGAGGTCGGAGAGAAGGACCAGGAGCTTCGGCGACCTTCGACGGGCCAGCGAGCTGATGAGGATAGGCAGGCTTCGAGCAAGAAAGGCTTGCCCTTGAGGCCGCGCTCCAGGAGAGCCAGGCAAGGTCGCTTCTCTGACTGATGAAATGCAGAATCAGTGGAGGAAATGGAGGAGAAGGCCGCGGACTGGGCATGGGTATCTATACCCTTCGGGTAGGAACCCGACTTTGGACGCGTCCGATCTACCGGAGGTTGGTAGGCGACCTTGCAAGTCATGGCCGAGAGGACGACCAGGCTGCGCGGCCGCTCAGGGCCCAGACAGGCGGCTCGGCTCGAGGATATTCTGACCAGCCTTAGGCGAATTGAACGCCTTATTGTAATCGGGTTTTCGGACCTGTCTGTTTTAAATGAAGAAATTCATTTATAGTTCGTTTTTATCATGCGTGCGTTTACAATTTGCGATGTTTACTGATTCTTACATGCGAACAGAACACATACGAACTGTTTCAAGTGAATAAAGTAACACTTAAAAAGAAATTAACAAAATAAGAATGAGCCAGGATTATGATAGTACGGCCGGAGTGCTCGGCATTTCAAGCTCGGGGTACTTTGGAGCCATTCAATTCTTGAGATGTAGGTCCTGGTCTGATTACTTTGTCGACCCGGTATGGACCTTCCCAGTTAGGTCTAGTACCCCCGCACTTGGCTCTCTGGTTCCGAGGAGAACTTCCTTACACAAGGTCTCCGACCGGAGTCTCTTCGCTTGACCTTGAGTCGAAGAATCTTTTTGCTCGCTGTTGGTAGGCCGCTATTCTTAGCAGGCCTTGTGCGGTGTCTTCGACCAGTCCAAACTTGCTCTCATTAGCGCTTCGTTTCTCGTCCTCATCGTACAGGTCCCCGAAGAGACCCAGTTCCGACCTCTACAGGGATCATTGCCTCAACACGTCCCGTTTTCCTTTTTCCAAGCTGACTTCGCACGACTTGCTGCAGAGAAATGGACGGGTGTGAGCTCCATGTTATCCTGCAGGTCTGACGTGCGCACATTGTCCTGACGGGGGCAGGTTACTCCTGACGTGCGCACATTGTCCTGACGGGGGCAGGTTACTCCTGACGTGACTTTCCCACGTCAGCCCTTTATTTTCCCGTGCATAACAGAAGCCCCCTAGTTTTTAAGGTTTGTGGAACGAGCCTTGGAAACTAAGTCATACTGAAGGCTCTGGTCGCTCCGACCTGGATGGGGTGAGCTCGGCTCAAGACTCGCAGCGAACACGATCTCGCGTGATCCTTTGCCTAAGCGACCTGACAATCTTCATCCCAGCGACCTGGATTTGACGGACGCTCCTTTCTGTACCTTTGAGGTTCAACGAACCTGGCTTCGCGCTGTCAGGCGCTCTGCAGGAGTGACATCGCTTGTCTGACATATTAAATGCGTGGTATGATGACCCGACGCCGTTTTGACAACATTAACTGCGTGGCACATTTGAAACGGCAACCCTTATTACCGCATTTAATGCGACGTGGGTTTGAGATGACGCCCCTCTTCACGGCATTTAATGCGACGTGGGGCGCATTTAATGCGGGGAGAGAGGGAACTGCCGTTTCGGTTCCAAGGGGTGGTAACCGTCGATTCGTTATCCATATAAAAACTTTGCGTTTTTCAGATGAGGCCACCGAGATTTCTTTCGCTTCGAGTGATAAACCTTCACAAACCCGGAATCATTCTCTCCCGATCGACGCTTTTCAGGCAACCAGGACGAGTTTCGGCCCCAGCTCCATATATTACAGAGTAAGATTCTCTTTTCTTTTTGTTTGCTTTTCCTCTCTTTTTTTTTTTGTTGGTGGTTTGGTTGAACCATGGCGTGGGGTCTCCCGGTGTTTCACCGGAGTCGCGACGCCGCTATTGGTTTCGAGCCGCGGATGGCAGCTTGAACCACTGCTAGGTTTTAAGCATTTGTCCCTTGCCGCCGCATGGGTCAAACACAAAGGCCTAAATGACCGTGTCTGTCGATGTTGCAGACTGAAATGGAACCGTCAACATCCAGGCTCGAGGACGGAGCCAGCTCTTCCTCGCGGGGAGCTCCCGAGGACGCAGCTCTCGATGTCTACTCGGTTCTCACCTCCGAGGAATATGCTAGAATAAAGAGGCAGTTTGATATCCGCTCGAAGGTGTTCCTCGACTACGCTAGGCCGTCACGGCGCCCGACTGATGGCCTTGCCGCGATCTCTGAAGAGATCCTTAAGGGTGGAGGGAGGGTTCCCTTCCATCATTTCATCAGGTCGGTCCTGGATCATTTCGGGATTGCACCGATGCAGTTGACGCCAAACGCGTATGTCATCGCTGTTGCGATGTACATCGCGTGCTGCGAAAATGACTTGGGAGAGCCATCAGCAGTGGAGCTCGGTGTTGCCTACTACCTGAAGAAGAGTAGGGATAAGGACTCGTACTATCTGTCTCGGCGACCTACTATTGCNCACTAATTTTGTATTGATGTTGGTGTGGGTCAGGTCGCTAAGCGGACTGACGTACAAGAGAGTTAATGAAAGTACTTTGCTCTTACTTTTTACAAGAGAGAGAGTTATCTCTGGGTAATGAATGAACCAACCCCCTTAATGGTGAGGTTTTCTACATTTTATATCGAATGGAAGCGTGTAATCATCATTAAATCTACGGGTTGGTGTGATTGTCAGCACGTCATCCATCTTCACGTCCCGTTTTTCCTTTTTCCAAGCTGACCTTGCATGACTTGCTGCAGAGAGACGGACGCGTGTGAGCTCCATGTTTATGCGCAGGTCTGACGTGCGCACATTGTCCTGACGGGGGCAGGTTACTCCTGACGCGACTCCTTCCACGTCAGCTCTTCATTTTCCCGTGCATAACATTATTCATGCATCAACAAAGAATAATATATAATGAATTAGCCATGATGCTAGGATAAACATAAGTTGGATCTTCAGCTTATAAAAAGACAAATAGACAGTTTTAACTAATAGGTTTTTTGCCATCGCGACAAAGGTCAACCTTAACACCCACGTTTGGATCCCTTGTAGGATTGTTTTGTTTAATTTTTAGATTCGTAATATTGGTCATTTTTAATTTTTGGTCCGGAGTATTTATTAATTTTTATTATTTTAAAACTCATTTTACGCACATATTGAATGTGGGTTGGAATGAGTAATATTACACCAATAATATTTTCTCACAACTCTGAGCGTAACAGTTTACAATTGATCAGTTTGTAATTAATTAGTGGGATCTATACGAGATCCATGTGAGACTCATTGTGAATTGAGTAATTGCAAACTATCACGTCAGCATTGTGAGAGAAAGTTTGTGAGAGAAGGTTGTTGGTGTAATATTATTTGGGTTGGAATCTACAATTTGATTTCAACCAAATACTAAAAAACATTGAACAAAATAAAATGATAAACAGTATATAAAACCATGCTCATTGGACTTCTAATTTGGCATATAAATTTTTAATTTCAAACTTAGTAATTTTCAACAATGGAAGACCTTTTAATTATTACAAGTCACAAAGTCATTTTATGGTTAACAACTAATTCATCGTATAAATTTATAAATTAGTATGATAAAAATTAAGCTTTAAATAAAAAAATTGAATTAAAGCATTTCGACCCTTCAACAGTATTGTTTTCGAAAACACGATGATATCCAAATAGCAAATCTTTCCACAACCAACAGATGGACAGCTTATTTTGCATCATCATTTAATTCAAAAATAGATATCAAAAAGGATATCCTCAAGTCATATTTTATTTCAATAAGAGCAAAATACCAAGTTCAATGATCAAGTAATACAGTGACACTCCAACGTTAAACATCAAGTTTCCAAACAAAGCTCATCGCCTTCAACTTACCCTAACCCTTATCGCTGTTAAAAACCACGACAAAATGGTAAATATATTCATCACAGCTTCAACTTGACCATTTACTTCTCTCTCTCTCTCTCTCTCTCTCTCTCTCTCTCTCTCTCTCTCTCTCTCTCTCTCTCTTAATGAGATCAAAAGAATGCTAGCATTTTTTCACAAACACTACAGAAAATATTCTACCTATAGAGAGAAACCTAAAATCCAAAAGGCTTGACGGCTGCACAAAGAACATATATAGAGATCGCGCTTTTGCCTTCACAAGCCGGAGCAGAAACCACCGCCAGCAGTATCAACTAGAGGGCACCTGGTAACTATCACCTCATTCCCAAGTTCACAATAAAACTTAAAACCCCTTTTGTTCGCTGGGATATAGAGTTTTGTGATTTTAATCTTACCCACGGAGCTAGTTATCAGTTGTATCATCCAACTTCATCATCAAGAAATGATAGACCCATACACTACTTACATAATGGGAAAGTTCAAATTTCCAACAAGGAAACATAATATTGTGGAAATTCAAGGAAACTCTGAGACATAAAAGTAATACTAAAACAGTTGTAATGCATACCTCTCAAACATAATTCAACAAAATCTTCGAAGCATGCAGTTGTTACGTCCACCATAATATTAGAACTGCCAAACTCACTAAAAGTGTCAGAAAAATCACACAAGATCTTCATACTTTGCCTACATAAGTTCACTGATCTAGACCAGAACAAATGTCCATTTCCATCTGCTGCTTAAGCACGATAATCTAGTACCGGTCATGTCGCCCGGTGAAGATAAGCAAAAGAATAATTAATATCTGAAAAATCACTCAAAATTTCACATACACACACATACATCCATTCAATTAGTTAGTCATTATACCAAATACCCTGACCTTAATTAAATTAGATAGGTAATTATCATGGCGTTAAAATAACTGGCTCAGAATTTATCAATACTTTTAGTACTGCACCAAAGGCTAGTCTTTAAAACAATGAAACAAGTTTGGAAACAAAAGAATTAATGATGGAAAATGAAGTTTGCCGAACGTTCAAGCACAATGAAGATTTTATAGTAACAATCATCCAGCAGAGCAACTTTTGAATATGCTTTCATATATGAAGGAACTAACAAAATCAAAATAGTCATTAAATGGTGTCTCCAATTAGGTGTAAGACTCTTATGCATAAGCAACATTTTTGGTATACCCTTATATAGCCGAAACCTCTAGTCTAGCAATTATATATTAGCTCTACTTTCATA